TCCATGAAGACTAATAAATAAAACTACAAATTAGCATTAATCTTGAAGAAATTATGTATGCAGACAAGACACAGGTCACTGTCCTTTAGGTTGACCACTAGTTGAATGTCTAAAACTACAGAACAGTGGTAACATAGTTCCAGTTCCATTCTTGGTTACTAGAGAGTCCGGGAATTTTTTAGGGTTTTCTAGATAAGTAATATATATGTGTATGGCTTTTCTTTTGACTATTAAGTGTATGTATTTAATTTGAGTCATGCATGAAGTTACATGGAAACTAAAGAGTTGCAGGTATTGTCCCAACTGGTGATTTACCAAATTTCATTAATTAGTTAATCAGTTGTATACTAGATGGCGCCACCTCTTTGTCAGACTATTGTTTGTTAAAACAATGTTAATGCTTATTATTTCTTTCATATACATTTTTCCTGAAGAGTTTTTTTTTAAATGCTGTCTCCAAATCTTTGTTATCAATTTACTCTCTAATAGAAATTTACTTTTTTCACATTCACATTACAAAGAGTTGAAGTAAGAAGCAAATGAAATAACTGTTATCTTAAGCAGCAACAGTGTTTAATTTATCTCTTCAGTTCATTCTCTCTGTTTTTTTTCAATACTCAAATTGCTTACAACAAATTGTTTGTAAATAGGTTTTGAAACAACTAAATAGTATAACAGTACAAAATCAGATGTATTTTGTCTTACCTTTTACCTGTTTCATATATGCAAAATTCTTGATATAATCTATATCCATAACATTTAGGGGCTCACTTTTAGTTATATTAATATCAAATAATTCACTGAAATATTTAAGCCAGCTAATCCAGTGAAAAAAGAAAAAAAAAAGAATATTTCACCCTTTTCTTCACACACTAAAAGTTTTCTTATACGCAGAACAAAACACAGCAAACAGAAGCATAGCTAAGGTTTTCAGCGTCTGGGGACAACTGAAGATTTTGCACCCCTTTCTGTGTGCCAATAATGGAAAACATTTCATTCTAAAATTTCATATCATCAATTTGGCACCCCCTGGATGCTGTACCCGGGGACAGCTGCCCCTCCTTGCCCCACCTTTCTTTTGCTACTGACAGCAAAAGAAGTAAATATTTTGCTAAACATAAAAAAATATTAATATTAAATAATAATAAATCTGATCATATAAATTTTAATAAAATGGCAGATGAAAAAAAAATGTGTTGAAACAACAATTTTAGTGGCGCCACCTATCGATCCGTAAAGTAACTACACAGTTAAATAAAGTATATCGTCTATTGGGAGAGCACAAAATTCTGTTACTAAATTAGAGATAGGGTTATCAGTTTAGTAGTTTAGAATACTTTTCTGTTAACTGTGTTAATCTGATTTTGGTTAAGATGGAAACAGAATATTTGCATTTTTTACTTGGTAATTAACTTATTGATTAAATCAAAAAAAAAAAAAAAATGCTGGATATCTATGTTTTTAATTAATATGATTACTTTAAGTATGCCAGAGACTGTAATTATAGAGAATTTCTAATACCATTTGCATCAGATTACATTTAATATTGCATAACATAGTGTAATTTGTATTTTTCAAACTTATGAAAATGAAACAGAATTTTTTTAAACATTTCTAATCATGTATTTCAAATTTTACTTTGATTTTTAATGCTTTTTACCAGATAATTTAATAAATGTTGGGTAACATGGTATCAGGAAGAAAAGTATTCATCCATGTGAATATTTTATCATGATTTTGAATTATTAAAGCATAACATAGTAGAAGCCAATTACAATGAACTGTTACTTCTCAGATTTGTATGCCTCACATTACAAGTTACACTTGCATCGCACATTATAAAATTATTTATTCAGTTTACTCAGTAATAAAAACTCAAGTTTTAGTTATAAAAATAAAAGATAAAATAAGTGTGATATAGGATTGATAATGTAAATTTAATTCTTCATTCCTTTGTTTGGAAAAAAAAAATAACCCAAACTCAACTTTGTGTTCCTCAGTAGCAATTTTTTTGGTCCATACTGCCAATTTTGTGGCAGGTTTCTACAAAGAAATATGAGGTTCTTATGTGCTGAGATTATTTACTTTTTTAAGTAAGGATTTAATTTATATATATATACTTAAAAGTTTTTAGCATAAAACATACATCACAAGACATTAAAATTTTTAATTTGTTTAATTAATTAAACGTTAAAGAAAAATTTTGATCTGAATAAGATTCGAATATAAATCAGGTATTCTATGATAAAAAATATTATCCTGTTTCAAAGAAATTCCATGTGAACAATTATGCCCCCCATTTTATTTGTAAACTTGTTCAGAGTTTAAATAAAAAAGTAAAAATAATAAAAGAACATTCTACCGAAGTAATAAAATATATACTTTTAACATTTTGTTGCATTTTGAAATTTTTTAATACACCGAGCAAAACCAAAATTCCTATAATAGAAAACATTTTCTCCCTACAAAATATTCATCTATAAACATTCATCCATGTGAATATTTTGTCATATCAGCTTGTTTGTCAATGGGATTTTTTTATGTGGATTAGTTGCTGATTACTTCATAGTCTCCCGTTAACATACTAGAATATAGTGCTAGAGAATGAAACATCGAGACAGTCACAATATTATTCCTGTACAGCCCACATTGTGGGCACAGTTGTAAGCTCTGAGCATTGATCTGATTTTTTACATTAAGGTGGAAACAAGTCTGCATAAGCATACTTAGCCCTTAGTTCTTTTTGGGATGGCTGGAAAACTGTGATGTTATTCGTTGTTCTTCTCATGTGAGCTGAGGTTTATGTTCTCATCATGCCTGAAAATCATCAGTATAAGGAATCAGCTTCTGCCCTTTAGGTTCCATGGCTTAAATGACATGTTTTGTACTGATGATTGTAGTTGGTTGTAAATAAGCTGATGTGGTGTCACCATGCACATATGATCTTGGAAGTAGAACCCAGGTCATTTAGCTGGAAATCTAGCATTGCACCACACAATTAATACATTCACTGCCATCTATGAGGATACTCATAGTTGATAAACTAAGTTTACTTGTCAGCTAAAAGCTAACTTGTTATCGATTGCCTTACATTAATTACTGACCGAGTATGAGTACTGCTGTAGAAATTGCAAACAATGGTTATATGTCAGATATTCAGGAAGTGATTAAATAATGCACTGGGCAAACTGAAATGTCTCATTTATTTCTCAAAACATAGTGTTACAAAATGTCCAGGCGTAGTAAGATATCTTTCCCGCAAGGTTTATGGTTGCCAGAAAATGGCAAGGGGAGGCAGGGTTGCCATATTTGGGCCGAAATCACCAATCTGACAACAAAACTGGCTATTTGCCATAAACGGAGGGAGAACTTTCTGGAGTGAATTCTTACTGGTTTAGCCCAGAATGGTATTGAACACAAGAAAAAAGCTGTATAAACCCTGCTGGTATGCGGAAAGTGAGTCAATGTCTCGTCTAGTGAGTGGTTCGCGAGTCCGTGTGGAGTCGATCAAGTTGATAGTCGGTCAGCGAGTGTCTCGTAGTCTAGTGCCGAGTTAGTCATCGAGTACATTGAGAGAGTCTCTTAGTGCATCGTCGAGTTTTATCTTAGAGTATTGAAGCTCCGGGAACGACTGAACAAAATCGAGAGCTGTACTCTAGTGTATCGTCGAATGCATCACGAGTTATAGCATGGAGAGTCTCGAGAGTTAGTAGAGTTCCGAGAATGACTGAGCAGAGTCGGGAGCTGTACTCTGGTGCTTTGCTGTGAGGCTGTCTCTGTTATAGCCTGGAGGCTGTGATGCTGATTGCTTCGGCCTGATTATAACTTCAATGACATATTGGAGCTGTCTTGAATAATACTGGCCAATAAATTGTGTTTCGATACTTCATCAAGTGTTTTTGTTATTCCAAATCTACGAACCCTTACATAGGTATGTGAAGAAATACGTCACAATAGATTCAAAAACTAAATGTTTAGAACTCAAATTCATTTTTTAAAGTGGTTGTTATTTATTTAGGAAATTTTATAAATGATTTGCTGTGTTCTTGCTCAGTGACATTTGTAGGACTAATGGAAAATAACACATCACACAAGCAAGAGTTTTGTATGAATGCACAGTATTGTTTTTCTAGTTCCACTTTATCTCATAGTTGGTACAAAGAGCAAAAATGTTCTTTTGTTTGCCAACTACGATATGCTCATGTGAATTTATTTACTGCTAAATATAATCTGTCATATCTATATTTAAATAATAAAACAACAGGAAATAAAACAGACACATAAATCATTTTGTCGTGTAAATGGATGCATTACTTCAACTCTGGCAGTTAGTCTTTTATTTTTAGTATGAACATTGGTTGGCCACTGATTACCTCAAACTATTTAATTAAAAGAAAAAGAAATTAAGGCAATATATTTTCATATCAAATTTGTGTAATTTTAAAATGTTATATTACTTATGCTTGGCATAGGGCTTAAGATATGAGAGATATCTGGCCACTAGAAGTTAAGGATGTTTTATGTGTCACGTTTTAGTGTTCTTTCAAAACTATTTTTAATAATTGGTGAAATTTTCTTTTAGAGTTTATGTATTGGTATTTTGCAATATATTTTAAGCTCTTTGCAGTTAATACATCTGTTCTTTTGAAATTCACTAGTTGTCAAATGAACTCGAAGGTGGTCTGAATAATTTGGCTAATATTCAAAGTTAAAAATTCTTAAGAACCTGAAATTATTTCACATGTAAATTGAAGAGATTTGTAGTTTTAAATGAACAATAAAATTTTCAACATAATAAATATTTTCAACAGGTATTCAAATTTACGGTAAATAATTTTCTTAATTTAAAGTATAATTGAGTATTGTAAGGACTAATTGTGAAAGCCAGATAAGAAAGCTATATTTACCTATATGCATTTAGTGAAACTTGAATCAATTATGTTATAAACTGGATGATATTAGATTCTGATGCAAGTTATTATTCTTTTTTTCCTTTTTAGAGATGAATTACAGTATATCAAGTTACCAACAGATATTGATGATGCCAAAAACTTGGGGAAAGTACTTGCACGTTACAAAGAACGTTATTATTATACTGTACTGTTTGCATTTTTCTTGACATACATTTTGTATCCTTTGCATAGTTTTAATGTAATTCTAATATTTATTTATTTTTTAAATTTAGATATCAGAAATTTCAGTGAGATAAGAAAATATTTCTTTATATCATTTTGTCATTAAAAAAATTTTAAATATTCTGATGCCTGAGCTAATATGTTAATAGAGTTTTTGCTTTGTAAAAATCTTGCATTATAGATAACAGTACTGAGAAATGATAAAAGATGGGATAATTTGAGTTGAGTTGAGAAACTGCTGAATGCGGTCAGCTGAAAGGAAATGGCCAGATATAAGATAATATTGATCAGTTGATACATAGTTTGTTATACATTGTTTAAGATTATTTGAAATTAATAACTCTAAATAACAATATTAAACAAAAAGTATTGATATAGTGAATGTATGATGCCTGAACTGATTTTAAATTGATATATTGAGTATGTGCAGAAATGCATGAAAAAAGACCCATGTCCTGCCATGAAATGGGTGACACAAAAGAATCATAATTGAAGAGTTTAAAAAATAATCACTTTATCAAATGACTTGATGTGTGAAAATTTAACTTAAATGCAAAGTAATTATTTCATGCATGCATTAAGAATTTTAGAGAGACATAAAACCAGGAAAAGTGGATGGTTTGAAAGAAAAAAAAATGTGTTAAAGTTGTTCAATGGGTCCTTCCAAAATTATTTTTTAAAAATTTTGTGTATAAATGTCAGTGCATAATAATCTTTTAAATCACCCTACAATTTTCAAGCTTTTTGCTTCCTCTGTAAAATATGATTTCTCTAAATCTTCAAAATAAGCAGTTGTTTCAGTGGAATAAGTAATAGCTTGTGAACAGGTAAGATTTGAAAAAGTGTGAGGGTAAGGAGCAGTTTCATTTTGTAATTTCAATAATTTCATTATCTTAGTAGAAAATTAATCAGCTTGGTCAAGATAGAAAATACTTTTTTCTTTTCCAAATGTGGCCTTTTTAATTTCACAGTTTAGACACTCCATGAGTAATCATCATGGTAGACGCTATGCTTTTCTGGAAAGTGAAAAAAAAAAAAATTTACTCTTTTTCCCAAGAAAAGTGGACATAACCTTTCCAACTGATGGAGTAGTTTTGCTGTTCTTCGTACAGGCTCATCTGCTTGAACCTACTTTTTTATTTTTACTGCTGTTTTATATCATGTTGATCCGTGTTTTGCCAACTGTAATATAAATTTCTTCCGAATCTTTTTCAAAAGTTTTATGCTGTTTTAAAGGCATCCGTTTGTTCTTGTTTTTGATCAGTTTTTAACAGATACACAGTGTATTTAAAAAGTTTCAGGACTGATCACACACAGACTATATAAGACAAAGAATGTACTTACATTTGATAGTAAGCTTCAACATAATCATCGCCCTATTTAGTGCATAGAGCAAGTGAATGGTTCCGTAAATTCCTTCTGGAATGCCTCCACAGCAACACTATTTCTGATGTCACAGCCACTTCTGTCTCTTCTGTGGGCTCAGACTGTTTTTATCTTCAGTTTCAACTTGACCAAAAGAAATAGCTGGGTGGGGGGGCAGATCTAGTGAATGCTGTGGGTGTTTGATGCGTACGACCACCTGTCTTCTCACCAAAATTTGCTGCACTAGAAGGGATTTGTGAAATGGAGTCGGAATCGGAGTCGAGTAGATTTTGGGGTAAAAGGAGTTGGAGTCACTAAAAGACACGTCGATTCCAACTTCAGTTTTGTTGAATAGTTTGAATTTGAAATGAAATTAAAGTGAATTGAAAAAACATTAATGCCAAACTTAGTTAATATTTTTATTTAAGGACTATATGCATTTATAAATAGTTGTTTTCTATTTTATTGACATATTAGTAAATAAATATAAGGGAGCAGGATGGATGTAATATTTGCCATTATTGATTAAACTGATTCATTTAGTTACTAATCTCATTGGTGAATTGAAGTAAGCAGCAAGAACTCCCAAAATTGAAGACATATTTAGGAAGCGAGCAGGAAAAGGAGCAATGCAGTGGAGAAGTACATATTTGATGATACAGTGGTGTTAGGATTAAGAACTTTTTCAGAAGATGTAAATAACCCTAATATTTCACTAACAGAAAGACTGATCTTGCTCAAATGATCTTGCAGAATTGGAAACTCTTCTTTGTACATCGTATATAGCCACAAAAAAGCTGCAATCGGAAGAATTGACAGGAGGTGAGAATGGAAGAATGGGATATTTGTTCTTTCTGAATTGGTGGGTTTATTGCAAAGGAATCATTTCTTCAATGAAGAAAAGATTAGTTTGCTAGACAAATCACGCTGGGTTCAATATATATAGATCTGAAACGCCGAATTTTGTTGGATGACAAACAAATTAAAAAGGCGCCATCTATGAACTTTCATTAAGAATGAAATTATTCTCAGAACAACTGGAGTATTCAAATCAAGACAGTCAAACTGCAGATATTGCAACAGAGTATCTATCATCTTCTTCTACTGATGACTTAGATTTTGAGAAATATTTGGATAATATTGAAAAGGCTAAGGCAAAGCAAACGAAAATATAGAACCAAGAGCCTTTAGATATAAAAATGAAAAATACAAACAAGATTTATACATGGCCTATGAAGAAATAAATAAATATGATTGCTCTTGCAAGACACCTCTTTTAGAACTTATAAAAATCTATCCTGAAAAGTTAAAGGAAGTAGCCATAGCAGTAACAGCTCTTCTTCCTACTCAAGTCAGTGTGGAAAGTTCTCAATTCAGAAGTTTATCAAATCGAATCTATGGTCCTCTAACAAAGAAGACCTTGCCGAAGTTTTACTGTTTCTTAGAAATTCCTAATGCCAGTTTTTCCATTTCATAATAAATATTAATTAATGTAAAAAAATTTGCTATGTATTAATTTTTATCTGTAGCGTCTACTACTTGTTTTATATTAAAAAAATAAGCTGTACCCATGTTTATATGTTTACATATATATGAAGGAGTCGAAGTTGGAGTCATTAAAATTTCAGGAGTCAGAGTTGGTCATTTTCCCTACCGACTCCACAGCCCTGCTTGCCAGAGGTATTAATTTCAACTGTCTAGCAAATCAACTCTCTTATGCAGCATTCATTTCAAAAATCAATCCAGAAAATTTTTGTAGTATGCCTCAGTCACAGTGGAACCTTGATGACACAATTCTTGATGACTCGTACTTTGACTGTCAAAAAAAGTGATCAGCATTGTTTTCATTTTTTATTTTGAAGTGTGAACTTTCATCAACCAATTCATTTTTGACTTGTCCACACAGCACTTTCGCATGTTGTCTCCAGATTGTACTCAAGATACCAGTTTCATCTCTAGTGCCAATGCTTTGAAAAAAAGTTAGATCCTGATTGATCTGCCATGACAATCAAATCTTTGTATCTCTTACCTTTGCATACAATCAAAATGATTTAAAAGTGTGAAAGGTAACGTTAAAATGCTTTATTTTTCATAAATAAATTGAAGTTATGCTTTTTTCTTTTCTTTTTTTAGTCCAAAGGGTCTCTGAGGGACTATAGTTTTCGTTTTGCAATTTTGCATCAAATCGCTCTGAATGTCAGTTTCACTTTACAAACTGTAGCCACCAAATATTATTTTCCTGTATTATATTTAAATAAATTAAATAATGAAGAATCTGCATAAACGTACATATGTTTCTCGCATTGTGATAAAACAGTGGTACCTAGAGCCATCCAATTTTGAATGACGTAATCCTACTGTGAGTATGGGCATCTGGAAGCCCAAATTTGGAATTTGTTTTATTATCGATTTCATATTTTGTAAAACTTTAGTGAATTTTTTATTAACAAACTCGAGGATTTCAAAGCGAGCAGTGGCAAGGTTTTACAGAAAAAACACTTTTATCTCCAGCCCGCAAGACTGTATATCGGAAATTCTAAAGATATGCTCAATTTAAAATTATTTTGCGATATTGCTCTTGAACTGAATTTTATAGTTGAAATGCGAAGAACGTGATATTCGATAAGTAAAGGTAGCACAAAAATGTAAAAAGAAAAAGTCCCTTTGGACATAATTTAAAATCTGAAACCTTTCAGATTACTTTTCTTCTTCTTCTTCTTTTCTCTTCTTTTTTTTTTTTTTTTTTATGTGTTCTGTGTAAAGTAAGGAGAATATTTCTTCCTTTAAATGTAGTTTTCACTTCTAATTTATAGGTTTGTAATTTATTTAGCTTTGTGTATTTATTTCATGATGTTAAGGTAATAATTGTTAATGGATTACATTGCATGTCATATTTAAACCTTAACTTCAACTACAGTCTACAATCATTTGCCATTCCAGGCTCCATATTTTTAAGTATATTGTCTGGATTTTTGTTTCCCTTCCCTCTGGCTATATTTCTAGTATGTACAGTAAGTAAAACTTTTCTTCATTGGCATAGGTTTTTTTCCCCCCTTAATTATCAAAAATATCTGAAATCTGTATAAATTTTTGAAACATTGAGAAATATCAACTGCAAGAAATTCTGTAAGTAAATAATACAAAAGTAACTTAAAAATTTTTATTTTAAAAACTGTTTACCTTCCTTAAAAATGTGTTATATGCTGGTTTTGAATAAATATCTGGTGATATAAGTCGTGTACTCAATTTGCGTTTTCTTCTATTCTAATTAATAATTTTATAGAGGTTGGAATATTAAATTAATGTTCTAGATGTTAGAAAAGTAATGTATATGAATTTAGATAGCTGATATTTTTCATTGTACTATTTTCTGTAATTTAGTAATTTTATTTATAAGGTATTTCTCCCGCCTTATTAGCATTCCTTCGTGGTGTAGCGTAAACATTTGGCACGTATTTGAGAGGCCTATGGTTTGAGTCCCGGCTAGGACATTTCCCATGTCTTTCTGCTTCAAAAATACCTTATATATTTTAACGAGAGAAAGAAAGAAGAATATAGCACATATGAGAAAAAATAGTACAATCTGTTCAAGATATCATTATAGATTTATGTTAAAACATCATTTTATGTTATTTAAAACATTGAGCAGGCGCTGAATTTGTGGTCCTTTCTGTTGAGCTGGCACAAGCAATCAAGCGGTGCAATGTTTCAGGGTGATTCACAACTTCATACACTGAGTCCAACCCGGGCCCTATGTTATCGCAGTCAGGCTCCTCTAACCACTATGTCGTCTGAGCGGCTGATTACTTTAATATGTTTAAAAGTTCTAGGGAAATTTTCTGCACTTTTAGAGCAGTGCACCTGTAGATTTATTATGAAAGCACCAAAATATATCTGCGTTAATTTTTTTCTAGGGGAGGAATACACAACAATTAATAAAAGAAAACTAATTCATACTAAAGGTGTTCTATGCAACAGCAGTTCGTCATGCAAATTCAGTGATCCATTTCACATAATATGCATTTTACAAGACTTTTATTAACTTTTTTCTGCCAGTTAGTACCAAATAAGGAAATAGTTTCCTTGTGTACAAATTATTTATATAAGACTTTGCATTAATACATAGTATATATTTAATTACTGGAGAGCTTTTTGGACTGCTTTTCCATAAACATTCCAAACGTACAGTCAACAGTCATAGAAGTGTTCCACTTGAAAACAGGTTTTGGAATCATTGCATAGTAAATCTTAAGCTTATCTTAAGCTGAAGAAGACAAGGCCTTTGATTTCATGAATTTCTTGTTATGAAAATACTGGTAATCAAATTTAACTTTTTGAAATCATTGGTAAATTTAATATTAATGGCCATACTCCCAGAGATTCATGGAATCGCAGTTAAGAATTGTGATTCCTTCAGGGCTTAATTTCTGGAATTAGAAGTGCCGGAATCCCATGGAAAACCACCAGAAAAGAGCAACAAGAATAAATAAATAAATAAAATTACTAATAAAATATTTAACCATTTAAAATTAAATAATTAATTATTAAAATAATTTAATGATTAAAGTAAATGAATAATATAAATTAAAATTTAATAAGCGATTTTTAATTTAGCCCAAAAGGGCATTTTGTGTTCTCAGAACCGCATTTTGCTTTGAATCACTTTAAATGTCCGAAGCACTTTTCACATTGATGCCACTAAATGTTATCAACATTTATTATATTTAACGAAACTAAATAATGAGGAATTTACATAAATGTATGTATGTTTCTCGTATTGTAAAAAAACAACGGTACTTAGAGTTATCAAATTTGGAAAAATATAGTTCTCCATTTGAATATGGCACTTGGAAGTCCGTATTTGAAATTTGCTTTATTTCATATTTTATAAAACATTAACGAATTTTTTATTAAAAAACTCAACAATTTCAAATGAGCAGTGTAGTTAATAAAATATTTTTATTCCTAGCGCACGAGATTGTCTATCAAAAATTCTAAAGATATATTGTTTTTAAATATTTTTAGCACAATGTGGCATTAGCCCAAATGCTCTCGACACATGTATGTGTCTGTAATTTAAAAACAGCCCATTTGGGCATAATATAAAATTGAAAACTTTTGGATTTTTTTTTTTATTAAGTAATATTTTCTACTAAAATCTACTTTCTACTAATCTACTAAAAGTAAAATTTTCGAGATTAAATTTCTACTGACATTTTTGCTCAGTTACATAAAAGAAGTGTTAGAGCCTTCTTAGTCAGGGCTCTGGTGCAATTTAAGCTCTGGAGTCTGTGGTCAAAACCAAGGAATAAAAAATTAACACTTTTCATTAATTTTTATCCTGAGTATTAGCTATCAGTATTCCAGTTATTTTATTTAAGTGCATGCAGTTTTGTTTCAAATCTCATGTTTTTTTAATATTTTGAAAATATTTTTTTCATTTTAGTGTTCTGCACTTGGAGCATCTTTTTGCTTCCTTCTTTCTTCACAATTGGGAAGGAAAATAGTGCAGCGCTTTTTTCCTGTACGAGCAGCAGAGTGGTCACGGCAAGTAAGTCCCCATACCTGAAAGTATTTTTATGTAACGAAATCTGATTACAAAGGAACTGAACTTCTTTTAAATAAGACCGCATTGCTTGTAATTTATCTTTTGGTGAAATTATTAACCATTTGAGTCCTGGGGGTATTGAAAATATTCTGTCGAAGAATCCCAAACAGCGCAACCGCTCTTGCTCTAAATGAGTACGAAAAGACCTGAGCAGCACAATAGCGGTTATTTTATTTTATGTCGAGAAATACCAAGCGGCATGATAGCAGTTGTTTTATTTTATGTCGAGAAATACCAAGCGGCACAATAGTGGTTGTTTAATTTTATGTCGAGAAATACCAAGTGGCACGATAGCGCTTTGTTTATTTTACATTGATGAATCCCAGTCCTAACAATAGCGCTTCTTGTATTTGTTAGGTAACGCAATTCTCGTCTTCATTATTTTATAAAATGCATCTGTATTATTACATATGCGTACTGTAATTTTACATCGATGAATCCCATTCGGAGCTGTAGAGCTTCTTGTATATGTTAGGTAACTCGATTCTCGTCTTCGTTATTTTATAAAATTCATCTGTATGATTACATATGTGTACTGTAATTTTACATCGACAAATCCCAGTTGGAGCAATAGCACTTCTTGTATTTGTTAGGTAACGCGATTCTCGTCTTCATTATTTTATAAAATGCATCTGTATATGCATCTGTATCATTATTTTATAAAATGCATCTGTACATATGCGTACTGTAATTTTACATCGACGAATCCCAGTCAGTGCAACAGCGCTTCCTGTATTTGTTAGGTAACGCAATGCTTGTCTTTGTTATTTTATAAAATACATATGAGTACTGTAAATTTATAAATATTTCAAGTTTTGTTCGATAAAAATTTTATTTTTATTTTGTAATTAAGTATTGCATAATTATATTATTATTACGTATTGTAAAATGTACTATTTACATTAAAAGGAGTTGTGTGGTGTATTTGCTTCAGTAAATCTGAGTGTGCGACTTTAACAATCGGTAACGCTCCATCAGTTAGTTGCCTACAATGTTTTGAAATGTACTGGGTTTTCTCGACATAAAATTTCAACAGCGCGATCAGTGCGTCTTGGGACTCAAATGATCAATGATCATTTAAAATTATATGTTTGAGAATGTTTTTACGAAATATAAAGACCAAGACATACAAGTCGCATGCAAATTTCTTATCTTATTGGTTAAACATTAGCATGTTACAGCTTCAGTCTCATGGTATAACTTTTAGTTACTGGCACTTATAGGATAAATTCTACAAATTAAAATGTGAGGAATCTTGAAAAATAGTATTTTGGCATCAAATTTGGGAGGGGGGAGGAAGGTTAAACTATAGTTCTAATTTTTTTTATGGTACTGCAAATTTGTTGATGCCATTTACAATGCTATAAAAGAACATTATATCTCAAGTTAAAATATCTACCAGCAATAGCAGTTTGAATACTGAATGAACTTTGGGTATCCAGAATGTATGAAATTTGATTCATGAAAACCATTATTCGTAAAATTGCTGAAAATTTCACCTTAAGTAAATTTTTGTGCCACCAGTTTGATTGGAAAAGTGTATATACATTTTATTGCTATAAAATTTATTCCACTTTTCTTGTCAAATGAATCATTCAAATGCTCTCTTTCTAACCGTTTTAACGAAATATTTAAATGAGTTTCTATACTTGAGATATTAGAATAAGAGTTTAGTAGCTGCAGTCAGGGCCGCTGCATGGGGGTAACAAAATTGTTCACCGAACAAGGGAGCCTGGGGCAGGGTGCACCAAAATTTATTCTTATCACAAGAAATAAAACAGAATGCTGGATTTTTCCTCTTAGATATGCGTACAATATCATGGGGATGTAACATTTTAAACTACTAAAACATCAAATAAAACGCAATCCAAAGCTCAGAGAAAGTTGATCCGATCTCACTGCAAATTCGTTACAGTCAACAAAATAGTTATGTAAACAACTGAACTGAGATATTTCTCTCCGGCATTTTAAAACTTTAAATCGTGCACCAGAAGGTTCTGGTAATTTCCGTTTTCTCAAGATTTCTGTAAAGCAAAAGATTAGAATTACGGTCACAGCTAACACAGTAGTCAATTACATTTATTCAGTTTAAATATACTCGTAAATTACCAGATATCTGTTTATTAAATGCGTGTGCTCCAGTATTTTTACTTTTTCGGCGTAGCTTCTCTTAAAACTCGTCACGCGCTGCATTACACGTGGAAATAAAACGATTTTAATTACAATTCTTCTAAAAATTGCTAACTAAATACAAAATCCGGAAAATGCTCCAGATCTAGGTGTCATATATTATTGTGTTGTCTTATTCATCTGTATTATAGCTCTTATATATTGCTGAGGTATTTACTTACTTCTGCAAGCTTCATGACCTTATCAGGTTCAGTGTTTCTTCTAACCTTCTTCGGAAACATACAATGACCTGACTAGAACAGAGAGCTTACTAAAGCTATGTTCACTAATTGTAGTAAGTAGACAGGATACAGACGAAGGGTATACAAAACCCTTTATTTTTTCTTTATGTACAATGACTTCCGTACTTTGGAATACAATGACCCTCCACTCGGAGTCTAACTTAAAAGATATCAAAATAAAACTAAACTCTAATTTAACTTTAGAATAAGATTGGCCTTATAATAACAGGAAGCGTATGTAGCACAGAGACTGTGAACACTACAATACGTTTAATTTATCAAGAGGATTAAAACCTCTGGCCTGGAAGGCAAGGTAGCAACTGCGTAACTTCTAAGGTAAGCGGCCTGCTTCGAACTCACGGCTTCCTCTCTTCTGCTTGGCAAAAAGGCCACACTTAAATACTTGGCGTTCGCCAGACAACTTTGCATAAACTCCTTCACGCTTATAATTCTGGCCGGAAGTAGAAAATAAGAAGTGATAGTAAAGATTTAAAATAAAATAAACGTTAGTAAAAACTTAAGATCCTTACATACTTCCCGCCAGAGTTAATTAGTTTGAAAACTAAGGTCTAAAACGACCTTGTTGAAAACTTTTAGCTCTAGAAACTAACGCGAGGCCAACCTTTTACAATCATAACTTAGCTAGAAACTAGAAAATTTAAAAGAAAGAAATTTGTTACAATAGCAGCTCCCGGAATATACAACAATCTTTTTTCTTTTTTCATCTGTACTGCATCTAAACAGGAGCTTTATTCAATTCTGGTTCCTTCCAGAGATCTGGAAGGAAAACCAGTTTAATGAAATGTTACAGAATGACATTGGCAAATAACATATATAATATACTTTTCTTAACATTCTTATTTCATTCATGACTATTTTAATTATCTCTCCCCGTGCTCTCTGACATGTGTTGTAAAAACACCAAACACGAATGTGTTTATGTCTATGTGTTCAACACTTCCTCCTACAATCAAAAACACTAACGTGTTAAAATTCAACATACCAGACCTCGTAACACACCCTAATTTCAACTCTAGACCCTGAGGTACTATTCTGAAAGTGGCTAACTCTAAAGTGTAGCGTCAGAGAGCCTAACTACATTCATTCAACCTTTAACACATATTCACCATGATTTGCTCTTTTTACAGTCACACGAATAACAAATTTTTTAACATTACTTTCACTTTTACCATATCACGGTATTTCTAAACATTCAAAATAACAGTTCACATGTATACAAGAACATATCAAGATGCCGTTAATTTTACACATTTGAAAACATACATTAGTAGTACATTGTTAACTTCTATTCTTTTCAAAGCAAGTGCCAATTCTTTCTACATTGAAATAATACTACATTTCAAAAAGTCTTTCAGACTAAAACTTCTTTCTTGTTAGAATGTTTTAAATAAAATTTATACAATAACTTTTTACAATATTTAAGTCTTTATACAACGCTATTATACATCAACTTTAGTTTTACGCGCGAGTAATTGAAAAACATAATAAGAAAATCGGTCAACAACTCATTTCTCGCCCTTTTGGCGATAAAGGTAGACCTCGCATGAGGTAAAACTTCTTGAAATCTGCCACTTGCAGTAAGAATGAAAGATTAACTTAAGTTTGTAAAGTAACATAAAATTTTACTTATCTTTGTATATTCAGACATTCCTTTTCTGGGCCCAGTCTTTAAAGGTAGCTGCAGACCGTAGCTTGGTTGATCCTCCTTCTTGTACGGGCTCGCCCTTCAGTGCTTTCCTCTGGAAGCTTCCGTTTTTTCACCACTTCGGCCACCCTTGAACATCTTCCTTTTTCGCCTCTGCTTGTGGTCTTGGCCGTTTGAAGGCAGCTGGTCTTGGCGGAACCGGGAAACTTCTGTTCGTGATCCTGCTTGGACCTCGTTGCTGGCCGTTCAAATTTTTCCTTGTACTTTTCCTCCGCCGCTGATGGCCCTTCCGCAGTTCGGCGACTTTTGCTGCGGAGAGTTCCTGTCGGATGAGTCAGATCTTCCGTTTCACAGCCGGGTTATAGTTTGCCGTCCTTTCTCCTGGTCTTTTCCACATACGTCGTCCTTCTCCCTTCTTCATTCTGGGGGTGTTCGTGAACTCTCTTTTCTGGACGGTGGAACGGCTTCTTTTTCTTGTACCTTCAATTTTCCGCGGGGCAATTTTCTTTTCACTTGCTTCTGTCCTCTCATTGGCTTGCCCTTGTACTTGTCGTTTTCCCACCTCTGGAACTTGTACCTGCGGTGTCTGCCGTACCGGATCCTGCAAAAGATCTGAAAAGATTTGCATTTTATTACGATCGAAGTAGGGCTTGATTTGATCAATGTTTGCGGAGCAGGTTTCACCATTCCTGGCTTTTAACACTACTACAGCGTGAGTTATTTTTTCTATGACATATGGATCTTCAAATCGTGGAAAAAATTTGGCAGTTTTATCTTCTGGTGCTGAAGAAAGTGAATGCTTAATTTTTAGTACTTCATCCCCTACTTTATAAGTTACTCCCCGTCGTTTCAAGTCATAATACAATTTTTGTTTTCTCTGTGCT